TCCTAGCCCCAGCCGTCTCTCAGTGGCAACCCACTCCAGTATTTTTGCTTGGAAAATAACATGGACAGAAAGGATTGACGGGCTACAGTACCTAGGGTTGTAGAGTTAGACACGACTGAGCATGCATACACACACAAAGGAAAAGGAAGAAGTAAAAAAGTCTGTTTGCACATGCAATGACCTTATATATGGAAAACCCTGAAGACCCTACTAAAAACTGTTAGAACTAATCAGTGAATTCAGTAAAGTTGTAGGATATGAAGTCAACATAAAAAATGATTGGCATTTCTGTACACTAAAAACAAACTGTCTGAAAAAGAAATAAAGAAGACAATCCCATTTTTCTCACAATAAAATGATTAAATGCTTAGGAATAAATTTAACCAATGAAATAAAAGTGTTGTATACTGATCTCTCAAAGACACGGATGAAAATAATTAAATAAGGCATGAATAAGTGAAAAGCTATTTAGTGTCCATGAATCAGAAGTATTAATACTATTATTTTGTCCATAATATCCAAAGCAGTCTGTAGAGTCATTGTAATTCTATCAAATTCTATCAAATTCTAATGGCATTTCTTACAGAAATACAAAAAATAATTCTAAAAATCCACATGTAATTACAAAAAGACCCCAAATACCCAAAGAAATTCCAAGAAGAATGAAAAATGCTGAACAAATTAAAATTTCTGATTTCAAGTCATATTACAAAGCTAAGATATCAAAAGAATATTGTACTGGCAAAAAAACAAACACACAAACCAATGCAACAGAATTCAGAGCCCAGCAAAAAACCCATACATATATTATCAACTAATATTTGACAAGGGAGCCAAGAATACTCAATGGAGAAGGATAGTCTCTTCAATAAATAGTGTTAGGAAAACTACAAATTCACATGCAAAAGAATGAAAGAGGACCCCTATCTTTACCACTCACAAAAGTTAACTTTAAGTGGATTAAAGACTTCAATGGAAGACCTGAAAGCATAAAACTACTAGAATAAAACTTAGAGAAAACACTCCTTGAGAATGGTTTTGGCAATGTGATTTTTTTAATGTGACACCAAAAGCACAAGCAATAAAATCAAAAGTAAACTAATGGGACTACATTAAAGTAAAAAGCTTTTCTGCACAGCAAAATAAGTATGAAAGGAAACCTAAAAAATGTGAGAAAATATTTGCAAACCATATTTCTTATAAGGGGTTAATATCCAAAATATGTAGAGAACTCTTAGAAGGCAATAAAAAGAAAAGCACCTGGTTAAAAGTGGGCAGAGGAACTGAGCAGACATTTCTCCCAAAAGACATGCAAATGGCCAACAAGTGCATAAAAGGTTCTCAGCATTACCATTTGTCAGGAAAATGGAGATCAAAACCAGAAAACATACATTAGAATGGCTGCCATCAAAAGTCAAGAAATAAGGGTTGACTGGGATGTAGAGAAAAGGGAACATTTAAACACTATTGGTGTGAATGTAAACTTCTACAGTCACTATGTAAAACAGTGTGGAAGTTCCTCTATAAGTTAAAAATAGAACTACCATATGATCCAGCATTGCTACTTCTGGATCAAATGAAAACAGAATATCATAGAGGTTTCTGTACTTCATGTTTATTGCAGCATTTTTCACAATATCTAAGATATGGAGACAAACTAAGTCTCCATCAACTGTTGAATGGATAAAGATAAAATAAATATACACACAGAGAGTTGACCTTTGAACAACACATGGATGGAGCACTGACCCCCATCCCACCCGGTCACAGTTGAAAGTCCATGTATAACTTTACAGTTGACTTTCCATATCTGCAGTTACATATTCCAGGCTCCAACCAAGCATGAATCATGTGGTACTGTAGCAAGTACTTCCTGGAAAATATTCACATATCAGTGGACCAATGAGTTCAAACCCATGTTGTTCAAGTGTCTACTGTGTATCACTTTAAGTGCAGCACTTGAGTGATATATACATACACACACACAATGGAATACTATTCAGCCATGAGAGGAAGTAAATCCTTGTATTTGCTATCACTGAATGGATAGAGAGGATATTATGCTGAGTGAAATAAGACAGGCAAGCCAAATACTATATGAAATCACTTATATGTGGAATATAAAAAAAAAAAAAAAAAGAACACACAGAAGCAGAGTAGAAGGATGGTTTCTAGGGGGCAGGATGTTAGGGAAACAAGGAGATGTCACTCAAATAGTACAGATTTCCAGTTAGAAAATGAATCAGTTCTGGGGAACCTAATGCACGACAATATTAATAGAGTTAACATAGCCATATTACATACCTAAAAATTGCTGAGAAATTAGATTTTATGTGTTTTCTAAAGAAAGGTAATTATGGGACTTGATGGAGGTGCTAGAAAATGCTATGGTAGTAATCTATTGCAATATATGAGTATATAAAATCAACTTATTGTATACTTTAAACTCACACAGTATCAATTATATCTCAATGAAGCTGGGGGGAAATATTGAGTGTAGACCACATCCGTTCAGGAAGTTGGTTTTTTAAAAACCTGGATATGTAGGTGTAGTTACAGCTACCACGTAGGGAAAATGTATGGTTCAGTAGAAAAGTATGCACTATCTATATAGTTCACCCTTCTGTATTATGGGAGATATTTTGCAACTTTTTCAATTTTCAACCATAGATAGTGACACAAAATAATTCTTGTCTCTAAACATACAAACTCTGTTCTGTAGAGATTCAGTTGACTTTCCTAGCTAGTTTTGTCTTCATTTGCATATTCATATCAACATGTTTTTACTCTAAATAAATTTGTACTTTTCCACCCTTGTCCTATAACCTGGTTGGAACACTCTGTTACTACTAGTAACTTATTTCCTCATTAATGAGTTATATAACATTTTTAACTTGTGTTCATTTAAAAAAATAAAGAAGATTGGTCAATAGGTATCTAAGATGATGCTAACATCACTAATCATTAAGTTTTGTGCTGGTCTCAGCTTATCAATAACCAATGGTGTGGTTGGACCAGCGCTTGTGTTCATATTTTGACTGTGGAGGCTCCTCAAAAAACAAAACTATTCAATACAATTACTATATTACCCAGAAGTCCCATTTATGAGTTTTTATTCAAAAGAACTGAACTGATTTGGGATCTCAGATAGATACAGCCGTGGGGTGGAAAGAACTAAATATAGCTCAATAATTAGCAAAAAAGAAAATGTGTAAATACACACACTGGAGTACTATTCAGTCATAAACATGAAAGAAATCTTGTCACGTACTACAATATGGATGACCCATGAGCATATTTTGCTAGATAGAAAAGTCAGTTATGAAAGGACCAATGTTGCATGATTCCATTTAGATGAAGTAGCCAAAGAAGTCAAACTCACAGAAATAGAAAGTAGATTGCTGGTTAGCAGGGCTTCAGGGAAATGAAATGGAGAGTTCAGTGGGTAGAGAGTATCAGTCATGAAGGCTGAAAGTTCTAGAGGCCTACTGTGTGATTATAGTTAATAATACTGTCCTGCACACAATAATATGTTAAGAGGCTAGATCTCATGTTTTATGTTGTTTACTATAACATTTTTTTTAAGTGTTGCAAAGAAATATTAGGGCATGGAACAAAAGGAAAATGTATACTTAGTGGTTCCTATGCCAAGCTCTTTTATATTCCAGGCTTGTAAGTTTAAAATAAAGTTTATTTTACTTTATAGGTAGAGGGTGATTTTGAAAACTTTGGGAAATTTCATCTATATGTGATTCACATGAAATCTGATTTTCAGTCTTTAACTCTGAAGAAAAAAAATAAAACAGTGTAACTTGTAATACAAGCTGAAAAATCAGAGTCATTATGACAAACACTTTGTGCCTGGTAGTAGGAAGTAAGTAATTACCATAAATTTGCTATCAAAATCCAATAGTGATGGAGCAAAGTTTGGTAAACTGAAAACAGAGTCAAATTCTAGTTAGAGAAGACAGGGTAAACAGGTATTGATTAGGTTGACATCTAGTTAAATAAAACATTTCATATTAATCACTTGGTTCGGTGTATTGTGCTGAATTATGTTGTAGCATATACTTTTTCAAAATATTAATATAGTGAGTATTGACTAGCAAGAAATCATTGATGCTGATATCTTTAAATAGTGCTGCCTTTACAGAGAGGGCTTCCCAGGTGGAGCTAGTGGTAAAGAGCCTGCCTGCCAATGCAGGAGACTTAAGAGGGAGACACAGGTTCAATCCCTGGGTTGGGAAGATCCTCTGGAGGAGGGGACAGCAGCACACTCCAGTATTCTTGAGAGGAGAATCCTATGGATAGAGGAGCCTAGCGGGCTATAGTCCATAAGGTCACAAAGAGTCAGACATGACTGAAGGGACTTAGCATGCACTGATGCCTTTACAGAGAACTCACGATTGAGGAGAATTGCACTGAGATAGATATTCCTAATGGACTGAAATCATAGATGATATAACTATTGGCCAGAACTGTAGGACTGGATCCTGGAGTAACTGTCAGTTATTTCTGTGAGACTGACTATAAGAATATAGTTCAATTAAGTAAACACATAAGACACTTGTTTCATGGTCCATAAGGGCATAATGAGGTCATTCCCACCCTGTCCACTTAACAAGTATTCCCTGGTGAAATGCTCCAAAACAGAAAACCACATTTATGATACAGGAAAACCACTGCTCTCTCTTTCATGAAATGATTTGAAACTATTCTTAGTGATTTCTGATATTAAAACAGGGCTCAGGAGACACTAGAAATAAATGACCTTTTGTAACCACACAGTATGTGTAATCATAGAAGTCCACACACAGCAATCATAGATACACAGAAGCCCACTTGGTTCTCTACTTCAAACTCCCTCTCCTCCAGATGAGGGCTGACAGTCATGACCCATAGGAAAGATGTGGCCCATCCTGAAATGCTTCCAAGGGGCATCACTGGAGAGAGAGAGGACTATTAAGGATAGAGCTATTACAGAGCATAGAATTGCTCACCATTGGTTTTTCTCAACTCCTCCACCAGGCAGCGGGCTTCCTCTTGAACTCGGTCCTCAATGCTCCTCTTCCCCATCCCAAAATTTCTCAGGGTCATGAGGGAGAAGCGTCGCATCTCCTTCCATGTCTTCCCATTGCTGAAAAGGATTCCTACCAGGAGGAGAAACAGAAACAAGGAGGGAGGTCCAAGGGAAGGAAAAGTAAGCTGACACTTGGCAGCCTCCCACATGGACGAAGCTCTGATGGAGAGCTCTTCAAATTCCTGTTTCCATCCTGCCCACTCCCATTGCCAATGCTTAACACATACCTTTTCCTTTATTAGCTCTTTCAGCCAATGAAAGCATGCCTCTTCCAGAAAACTGCTCTCCCAGATCAATCAGGGCTTCTTTCACTGCTTCATATCCATGCAAGACCACGACGGGCTTCACACCAAAATACACAGTGAACACAGGGCCATAGACTTTTGAGAGCTGTGAAAGGAGGTGCACAAAAGAGCAAAAGAAGTCAATATTTGAAACTACATTGTGCCTGAAGCAGAATGTTATCATCCTACTATTATGCTTTCATTCTGCCACATACATCCTAAATATTTCTGAATTTAATACATAAGTATGATGGTATTTGTTACTGTTTCCATTTCCATCTGTTATGTGAGGCAATGGCCCAAGTAACTGGTACCCAGATTACAATTAATTCTCATATCAGCACCTTCAGCAGGCTTATTTGCCTGGCTTATAAATAAGGAGCACATCATGAGAAATGCCAGGCTGGATGAAGCACAAGCTGGAATCAAGATTGTCAGGAGAAATATCAATAACCTCAGATATGCAGATGACACCACCTTTATGGCAGAAAGCGAAGAGGAACTAAAGAGCCTCTTGATGAAAGTGAAAGAGGAGAGTGAAAAAGCTGGTTTAAAACTCAACATTCAAAAACCCAAGATCATGGCATCCAGTTCCACCACTTCATGGCAAATAGATGGGGAAACGATGGAAACAGTGACAGAGTTTATTTTCTTGGGCTCCAAAGTCACTGCAGATGGTGACTGCAGCAGTGAAATTAAAAGGCCCTTGCTCCTTGGAAGAAAAGCTATGACCAACCTAGACAGCATGTTAAAAAGCAGAGACATTACTCTGATGACAAAAGTCCATCTAGTCAAAGCTATGGTTTTTCCCGTACTTATGTATGTATGTGAGACCTGAACCATAAAGAAGGCTGAGAGCTGAAGAATTGATGCTTTTGAATTGTAGTGTTGGAGAAGATTTTTCAGAGTCCCTTGGATTGCAAGGAGATCAAATGAGTCAATCCTAAATGAAATCAACCCTGAATATTCACTGGAAGGACTGATGCTGAAGCTGAAGCTCCAATGCTTTGGCCACCTGATGCAACGAGGTGACTGATTTGAAAAATCCTGATGCTGGGAAAGATTGAAGGCAGGAGGAAAAGGGGATGACAGAGGACAAGATGTTGGATGGCAGCACTGACTTGATGGACATGAGTTTGAGCAAGCTACGGCAGATGGTGATGGACAGGGAAGCCTGGCCTGCTGCAGTCCACGGGGTAGCAAATAGTCAGACACGAGTGAGCAACTGAACAACAACAACAATAAATAAGGAAACAGGTTGGAGAATTCCATTTTCTTTCCAGCATCCCATGGCTAATACATAGAAGATTTAAATTTGAAACTCTTATTCACCTTCTGATCCTTAAGGAGCAATGCATCAATCCCTGAGGCCCACCTTTAATCCATCACCTAGCTGACTGCTTCAGAACCATGTGTAGGGTTCTTCCAATAGAATTCATATTCCCTATCCCTATGATGAATACTAGAATTCCATGTTTTAAAAAATGAATTCAGATAACTCTAATGCCCAGCTTAGTTTGAGACCCACTGGTGTCATGAAGCACCATAGAGGTAGCGTCAGGACATGCATATCTCATGGAGGAACAACATCTTCCATCCTGCAGTATTTATAGGGTACAGACAGGAGCTTCCTGCAGAATCCAAATGAGTGCTGCTGCCACCAGTGGGACCCTGACTGGTGACTTCTTTCTCTCATTCACTCAAGCTTGTGCTGAATGCAGAGCTATTTCCTTAATACCAAGCATACTGTACTTCTTCAGAAAAGTTCTATTTTCATGGCCATCTGAACAAGACACACAGCTTATATAGTAAAAGACTTCTGCAAGGAAATCTCTAATCACAAAACACTTATCATTTACTTTCAGTCCCAAATCACAGCAAATGGCTGTGAAACAAAGGAGGGAAGTAACACTTGCAGCTTTGGCCAGTTTATTATTTTGATTCTGTTACATGTGCAAAGACAAATATTTCCCTGCTCACAAAAACAATACTTCGTTTCTCTACTTATGACAATGACAGGCCAGAAAAGGCAAAAGAAATACCAGAATTTACAGGAAGTAATTTGCTGATCTGTTTTAACAACATGCCCAGGACTTTCCTGGTGGTCCAGTGGTTGAGAATTCACCTGCTGATGAAAGTTCAATCCCTGGTGCAGAATGATTCCTTATGCCACAGGGCAACTAAGCCTGTTTTCCACAACTCCTGAGCCCATGTGCCCTAGGGCCCATGCTCCACAACAAGAGAAGCCACCACAATGAGAAGCCTGTGCACCATGGCTAGAGAGTAGCTCCAATCTGCCACAGCTCAAGAAAGCTTGTGTGCAGCAAGGAAGACCCAATGCACTCAAAAATAAATAAATATAAATTAAAAAGTAATAGAAAAACAACAATGTGCCCAGAGAAATATATATGATTTTTAAAATTGGACTTACTTTACTTACCCTTTTCATGCCACTGGAGGAGCATGAAGTCTACTTACATTGGTTAAAGATTTGCTGATGTTCTTAATATCTAACTGTAGGATGTTTCCAAGAATTGGGAGAGGAGTGGGGCCCGGCGGGAGCTTCCCTTTCCCAGAGCTCTGTTTCCAGAGTGACAGGAGAAGCAGAGAGCAGAGACAGAGCACCAGGGCCACAGCCAGATCCATTGACGCCGTCTCTTCTCACTCAGACGACTGTGAGCCTGAAACCTAAGTCCCTGCTGATTCAACACTGGTCTCTCTGAGGACTAAAGATATCAATCAATCACATCCACTTTATACTCTTTTCTGAGTGAACTTTGGCCACTGATAAAGATAAAATTAAAGTGTCCTTTAGTCTTGTTTTCCCTCTGTCCAGTGATGACTTCAGAGATAGTCATTTACATGTACTGGGCTGGGATCCATGTTTGATAATTAAAAAAAAAAAAAAAATTCCCACTGTGCAGTCAGGATTGAGAACCACTGAAATAAATAACTTGATGCCAAAAAACAGCTCAAAACTCTGGATTCAAGTCAATAATGATCAGTTGCAAATTTATGACTTTGAAGACAATCAGTATATTCTATGCTATTTTTATTTATTTATTTATTACCAAATTAAACAAGTTTATTGGCATATACTTGATTTACAAATGTTACTTTCAAGTATACAGCAAAGTGAATAGGTTATACATACATATATATATATATATATATATATATACACACACACACACACATATATATATATATCTCCACTCTTTTTATCCTTTAGATTATTTTCCCATGTAGACAATTATAGAATATTGAGTAGACCCCCTGTGCTATACAGTAAGTCCTAGTTAGTTATCTATTTTTTTAATTTTTAAATATTTTTAATCCTTTAAATTATGAAAGTATGATACCACATTTACAGGCAACATGGAAAATATAGAACAAATTTGTATATAGTTCCACTGTTTATTGGGATTATTTTTTTAAGTAGATAAATTAAGGTTTTTAGTTGGAGCTTCATTATTAAATTCTCAAAAATTAATAGAATGACTAGAAAGAAAAGGAGAAGTATATAGCAGATCTGAAAAACACTATGAACCAATTCAACAGTTAGATTTATACAATTTTCACACAAAGCTGCTGCTGCTAAGTCACATCAGTTGTGTCTGACTCTGTGTGACCCCATAGACAGCAGCCCACCAGCCTCCCATCCCTGGGATTCTCCAGGTAAGAATACTGGAGTGGGTTGCCATTTCCTTCTCCATTTCCCACAAATAGCAGGATAGAAATTTTATTCAAGTTCCCATATGTCAGGAAGCATTTAACAGGAGGCTTCCTGTGTGCTCTTTTGGATCTGTCAGGAATCCTCTGGCCCTTATTAATTTCTGAATATCATTTCCTTTGTTAGTTTCTCATTATGGTGATAAGTACCCTCTTCTCTCTTTAATAGGGATTGCCTTGTGTTTTGTAAGTCTGGAATTTTAATCTTTATCTTTGCTGAGTATAACTACCTTGTAAGACAGTATATATGCCTATGCCATGCTGATTAAAATACCTTTGCTCCATCAGAACTTGGGTCCCCATGTCTTTCTTTCTTTCTCTCTACCTCTCTATTTCTGGCTGATTCCCTGGAGCACAAAAGCTGGCTGCATAACCCAGGGAATGTTAGCCTCTTTCCTTCTTTCACTTTCTTATCGTCGACTCTGTACCACCAGGTTCCGGTCCAATAAAGGACCAACACCCATATACTATAAACCAGGAGACAGTGGAACATATCCAGGGACATAAAGCAAGGTGCAAAAATTTCGTGATCTAAAGATATTGAAATCATACAGAGTGTGTTCTCTTACCACTGTGGATTATGTCAGAAATCAATATCAAAATATATTTTAAATAACCCATATATTTTCAAGTGCAATGTGATATTTATCAAGACAGATCTTTGACCTAGCCATTAAAAACCTTAAAAAGGTTAAAAGAAAAAGCACAGAGGGTGATTGAAGAGAAGAAAGCATCTAAATGAGAAATTAATATCAAGGGTACTTTAAAAACTCCAGGTATCTGGAAATTAAATATCCACTTTTAAATGATGGGTATATCTAAGAAGTCATAACAAAGGAAATTAGAAAATATTTGTAATAGAATAAAAATGAAAGGAGCATTTAGCAGAATTTGCTGCATGCAGCTGAAGCAGCTCAATGCAACTAAATACAATGTGGATTCTTGAATAAAGTATGAAAAAAACAATGGACACTAGCATAAAATTTTGTGAAATTTGAACAAAATCTGTGCGTTAGTTAATACTGGCTGCGCTGTGCTGAGTTTTGCTGAGTTGCTCAGTCGTGTCCGAGTTGCTTTGTGATCTCACTGACTGTAGTCTACCAGGCTCCTCTCTGTCCATGGGATTCTCTAGGCAAGAATACTGGAGTGGGTTGCCATGCCCTTCTCCAGGGCATCTTCACAATCCAGGTGTTACCCAGGTCTCCCACACCGCTGGCAGATTCTCTACCGTCTGAGCCACCAGGGAAGCCCAAGAATACTGGAGTGGGGAGCCTATCTCCAGGGGATCTACTCAACCCAGGAATGAACTTTGGTCTCCTGCATTGCAGGCAGAATCTTTGCCAGCTGAGCTACCAGGGAAGCCCAGTTAATACTGTACCACATGTTAATTTCCTGTTTTTTTTGTTTGTTTGTTTGTTTGTTTGTTTTACAACATAGTATCTCTTTACTATTTTTCAGAACTGGATTAGAAGTTTCAAGCCTCATTCGAAATTTTAAAAAAATCACTAAGATAATAAGCTTTTTATACTTTCAGCAGTAATACTTGATGCCAGAATAAATGGAATTATAGCAATGGTTTGAGTGAATATAAATTAGAATTCTAGCATTCTATTCATATGTAGTAAAACAAGTGGAACCAAAATGTCATGTATTTTTTAGCTAAGAAAAAAAGTATAAGTTTTCTAAAATATACATATTGTATTATACATATATAAATGAAAGATTTTCTACTACACTTGATTAAGATTTGAGAAAGAACAACAACAAAAAAAAAGAGACAGAGAAATTGGAAAACATAAACTAAATGAAATGGGAGCACTGAATATGAAAGAGAAAAAGTGAAACAAACTAGATAAAAATAAAAGATTATCATATGATCCAGTTACTTTTAAACATGGCTGCTCACTAGAATCACATCTGGAACTTCGGAGTAAAAAATAATACTTAAGCATTTGTATTTTTCAAAAAATTCGAAGATAATTCTAATGTGCATCTGGATTTGAAAAAGTGATTACAGGTTTTTCTATTAAATGGTAATTTTAGTGATATAGAATTCTATTATTTTCTGTTGACCAATCATGACACAATGGTATTAAATGAACACTAGTCACATAATCACAATAATGAAAGATGTTTATCAGTTTTCACAATTAATAGACAGACAAAAAACATATAATTGCAATTGCAAGCCAGAGTGGAAACATGATTAACCTAACAGTAGAAAATAATTACATTTTGCGGGCTTAAGTAGAGTGATGCGGTACGTGGAAATACATACGTGCATATATTTCATCTTTCATGCACCCAGTCTATCTTTAGGCTGGTACATTTAATCCATTTATATGTAAGGTTATTATCAATATATATGTTCCTATTACTGTTTTCTTAATTGTTTTGAGTTTATTCTTTGTAGGTTGGTCTCTTCCTTCTCTTGTGAGAAGTTCCTTTTTCATTTGTTGTAAAGCTGGTTTGGTGGTGCTGAATTCTCTTAACTTTTGCCTTTGTAAAGCTTTTGATTTCTCCTTTAAATCTGAATGACAGTCTTGATGAGTAGAGTATTCTTGGCTGTATCTTCTTCTTTCTCATCCCTTCAAATATATTGTGCCATTCCCTTCTGGCTTGTAGAGATTCTGTTGAGAAATCAGCTGATAAACTTATGCGAGTTCCCTTGTATGCTCTTTGCCATTTTTCCCCTTATTTTTAAAATATTTTATCTTTGCCTTTAATTTTTGTCACTATGTGTCTTGGTGTGTTCATCCTTGGTTTTATCCTGTCTGGAACTCTCTGTGCTTCCTCGATTTGGCTGAGTATTTCTTTTCCTATGCTAGGGAAGTTTACAGCTACTATTTTCTAGAATGTTTTCTCAATTCTGTTCTCTCTCTCTTCTTCTTGTTCATTGTTCAGTCACTCAGTCAGGTCTGACTCTTTGCGACCCCACGGACTGCAGCGCACCAGGCTTCCATGTCCTTCTCTATTTCCTGGAGTTTGCTTAAGCTCATGTCCATTGAGTTGATGATGCCATCCAACCATCTCACCTTCTGTCTCCCCCTCCTCCTTCTGCCCTCAATCTTTCTGAGCATCACGATCTTTTCCAATGAGTCAGCTCTTCGTATCAGGTTGCCAAAGTATTGGAGATTGAGCTTCAGAATCAGTCCTTCCAATGAATGACTCGCCTTCATCAGTAGGCTCTTTAGTTTCTCTTTATTTCTCTCATTAAGGCGGTATTATCTGTATATCTGAGGTTATTGATATTTCTCCCTGCAATCTTGATTCCAGCTTGTGATTCATCCAGCCCCAAATTTTGAATGATGCACTTTACATATAAGTTAAATAAGCAGGATGACAATATACAGTCTTGTCATATTCCTTTCCCAATTTTGAACAAGTCTGTTGTTCCATGTCCAGTTCTAAGTGTTGCTGATTGACCTACATACAGGTTTCTCAGGAGGCAGGTAAGCTGCTCTGGTATTCCCATCTCTAAGAATTTTCCACAATTAGTTGTGATCCATGTGGTCAAAGGGTTTAGTGTAGTCAATGAGGCAGAAGATGTTTTTTCTGGAATTCCCTTGCTTTTTCTATGATCCAATGGGAGTTGGCAATTTGATCTCTGGTTCCTCTGCCTTTTCTAATTTTATTTTATTTTTTTTAATTTTTTTAATTTTTTATTTACTCTGTATAATGGGCTCCAGTTTCATCCATCTCATTAGAACTGATTCAAATGAATTCTTTTTAATGGCTGAGTAATATTCCATGGTGTATATGTACCACAGCTTCCTCATCCATTCGTCTGCTGCTGGGCATCTGGGTTGCTTCCATGTCCTGGCTATTATAAACAGTCCTCTGCCTTTTCTAAATCCAGTGTGTACATCTGGAAGTTCTCTGTTCACATACTATTGAAGCTTAGCTTGGAGAATTTTGAGCATTACTTGGCTTGCATGTGAAATGAGTGTATTGTGCAGGAGTGAATATTCTTTGGTATTGTCTTTCTTTGGGATTGGAATGAAAACTGACCTTTTCCAGTCCTGTCACCACTG